TAAAAGTTTAATATTCAATTTTTTAGTCATTTTAACAATTATTGAACATAATTGAAGGTAATGTGACTAGTTTAAAGCGCAGCATCCAGCCTCTTAACACAGCAAACAGGCGTTAGTCTCTCTGTTTTCACTGGAGGTAACATCTTGCTTGAGACTCTCTTCAACTAAACACTTTTTTTCTGTGTTTCCAAGCAAATTATTGGTCATTTTGAAATATATTTTACATAGTGACAATATATAATGCAGTACAGTGTTGATTTAAAGAAAATAATCTTGAAATACACCAAGAGAACTAAAATTTTATGGGTGAAATTGCGCCATGGGGTGACTTCTCTTCCACCCCAATGCCTTCTCTTCTTCCTTCTCCTCCACCCCCATTCTAATTCCCATCATCATCATCATCATCATCCAGGAGCCTTCTACATACACACCTCAAAGTAAGTGAACTTTTCTACCATTTTTGTTGAATTTAGGAAATTTTCGGTGAGTTGGAACCAATTACCCAAAAACCCATTGAAACAATGGTTTCGGTTAACGAACCTTTCGGTTAACGAACGACCTTCTGGAACGGATTGAGTTCGTTAACCGAGGGGTCACTGTATCTACGCTGACCCTCTGCGTTCTATCGGTGAGCCATGATTTTATCCAATTTAAAACTTTCCCCTCGATACCATGAGCCTTAATTTGTCTCAGACGCCTGATGCACCGGTCTCAGTACCTTCTGACTCGTCCACAGGAACATCCTCGGTCTGTTTAAAAAATGTTGTTCACTTTCTTTCTGTCATATTGTGGTTTATTGTCACCTGACATTCACATGGTCTCACTCATGAACTTATCTATAAAACATTAGAACAGAGGCGTGAGAACCTATTACATAGAGGAACATAATAAAATCATCTGAGGCATGATGGGCCAGACACTCATTATATTGCTTTTATAATTCAAAAGTAATGGTAAATTTAAAGACAAAAATGTTTAAGCACTGTGTTGGATGAGTGACTTTGTACTTGATCCACTAAGTCTGCAATGTGTGGCTGGATGGATCATGTAGCAACACAATGGGTGTTTAGTAGGTGCACATAGACGACCTTAAGCTGTTCTTAGTTACAGTATATTCATTTTTCATAAAAGCTGTTCACATAACTATGTACAGTACTTCCAAACACTGACATAATTTTTTTTATTTTTTGAACAGAAAGTTGTGAATAATCTGGACTTGTTAAATAATTCTTATAATATTAATGTGGATTGTAACTGTATCATATTCCATCTTTAATGTATTATTACATTGGAGGTGGATGACTTCCATCTGATGTATCTCTGAAACAGTTTCTACAGCCACAGTGAAAGGTGCGGCAAATAATTCTATTGCTAGTGCATGGCGTCTAATAATATCCTGAGAACTCATCCTGCAACTCTGTCAACTGATCAGCTTACTTTGAAAACTGCTCATCCTTAATTTCATTATTGCTGAGAGTTGGGAAATGAGCTGCATTATGTTTTCTGATTTGTAACTTCCAGAGACGTAGTTTTGTCCGAAATCCTTTGATACGAGAAAAGGTCACCTATGAGTTTATCTTTTTCTTAGAGTTTCACATCCAAACTGTTCACATGTTGACTACTGTCCACCAGAAATACTACATCACAGACCCATTTCTTGTTGGTCAGTTCTGGGACACTGTTATCCTTTATATCTAGAAACAAAACAATTTCTCCAAAAAGATCATATGCATTTTTCAGTACTCCTGCTCTACTTAGCCACCGAACCTCTCAAAATTATTTCACATGATTAAACTCTGCTTCAGTGTTTACCAATAACTGTTGAATCTGACAGTGATTCAAACCTTTTGATATCAAGTTGCCCAGCACAAGAGGAACTATCACTGGGGCATTGGGGCACGATTGAGTGACACACTAAGTCGGTAATAACGAAAAATACACAAAGTAAGTGTAAACAAGAGTACTGTACTTATGTGTGTGTGTACTGTACTTATGAGACACCACATTGTTCAATACTGCATTATTCTTGATATGTTGTTAGTGTAGATGTCTTCTCATTTTATGGTTGTGCTTAGTGAGGTGTTGGAGGTTGTTCCCAAAATACAAATGTTTTCTATACAGTCTACAGTACAGTACTGTATTAGTCTAGGTACCAAAAGTGACCCATTGAGCCACAGTGTGGAAACCATACCCATCCACCCCCTTGTTTGCCAACAGTGTACCACGTGTGTCTCAGGCTTGAGCCAAGTTCTTGACCATTAGATAAAGTGAGTTGTTCTGAACATATTGTGACACTGGACCTGTCAGATAATGGGTTTCATTTACTGTTGTTCTGCTGGTGGTACAAGTTAACAATGATGAAACAGTACTGTAAACTGACCAGCTCCTGTACTGTACTGGCTGTCTGTGTCACCAGTAGTGTCTGCTGTACTGTAAACTGACCAGCTCCTGGACTTTACTGGCTGCTTGTGTCTAGACCTCAACATCTTCCTGTGCTGCAAAAAATAAAATATAAAGTACAGTATATATATCGTACTGTATATACAAAATAAATAAAAAATAACGTTATTTTCTTGAATTTAGGAATTTTCATTCATAGACGAAAGCATTTGACCATTTTTTTTCTGTAACCTTCAAAGTTTATAACCTGAAATTTGGTAAATTGTGTTAACCTGTACTAGATGTGCTCCTTCCTACTGCCAGGCACTGAAAATGTGAGTGTGTTTGCATGAATACTAGATCTTTGGTGTACTGTACAGTATTGTTCTCAGAACCAGAATGGACTGTCCAGTTTGGGTAGAGAGAGACAATAGTGAACTACAGCAGAAGAGTTTGAGAATTTACAACAGATGAGCACTACAGTGTGAACATCACCTAGGACCATCACTACAGTGTGAACATCACCTAGGACCATCACTACAGTGTGAACATCACCTAGGACCATCACTACAGTGTGAACATCACCTGGGACCAACACTACAGTGTGAACATCACCTAGGACCATCACTACAGTGTGAACATCACCTAGGACCATCACTACAGTGTGAACATCATCTGGAACCATCACTACAGTGTGAACATCACCTGGGACCATCACTACAGTGTGAACATCACCTAGGACCATCACTACAGTGTGAACATCACCTAGGACCAACAGTACAGTGTGAACATCACCTAGGACCAACAGTACAGTGTGAACATCACCTACGACCATCACTACAGTGTGAACATCACCTAGGACCATCACTACAGTGTGAACATCATCTGGAACCATCACTACAGTGTGAACATCACCTGGGACCAACAGTACAGTGTGAACATCACCTAGGACCAACAGTACAGTGTGAACATCACCTAGGACCAACAGTACAGTGTGAACATCACCTAGGACCATCACTACAGTGTGAACATCACCTGGAACCATCACTACAGTGTGAATATCATCTGGAACCATCACTACAGTGTGAACATCACCTAGGACCAACAGTACAGTGTGAACATCACCTAGGACCATCACTACAGTGTGAACATCACCTGGGACCATCACTACAGTGTGAACATCACCTAGGACCATCACTACGAGGTGTGAACATCACCTGGGACCATCACTACTGTGTGAACATCACCTGGGACATCACTACAGTGTAGACATCACCTAGGACCATCACTACAGTGTGAACATCACCCTAGGACCATCGCACAGTGGGCTTGTCACCTGGGACCATCACTACAGTGTGAACATCACCTAGGACCATCACTACAGTGTGAACATCACCTGGACCATCACTACAGTGTGAACATCACCTGGGACCATCACACAGTGTGAACATCACCTAGGACCATCACTACAGTGTGAACATCACCTGGGATAACACTACGGAGGTGTGAACATCACCTAGGACCAACACTACAGTGTGTGAACATCACCTGGGACCATGCTACAGCAGTGTGAACATCACCTAGGACCATCACTGCAGTGTGAATATCACCTGGGACCATCACTACAGTGTGAACATCACCTGGGACCATCACTACAGTGTGAACATCACCTGGGACCATCACTGGTGTGAACATCACCTGGGACCATCACTACAGTGTGAACATCACCTGGGACCATCACTACAGTGTGAACATCACCTGGGACCAACACTGCAGTGTGAACCTCACCCTGGACCATCACTTCCACAGTGTGAACATCACCTAGGACCATCACTACAGTGTGAACATCACCTAGGACCATCACTGCAGTGTGGAACATCACCTGGGATTACATCCTGCAGTGTGTGAACATCACGCCTAGGACCAACACTGCAGTGTGAACATCACCTAGGACCAACACTGGTGTGAACATCACCTGGGACCAACACTACAGTGTGAACATCACCTGGGACCATCACTGGTGTGAACATCACCTGGGACCAACACTACAGTGTGAACATCACCTGGGACCATCACTACAGTGTGAACATCACCTGGGACCAACACTACAGTGTGAACATCACCTAGGACCATCACTACAATTAGCAGACATCACCTAGGACCAACACTACGGTGTAGACATCACCTGGGACCAACACTACAGTGTGAACATCACCTAGGACCATCACTACAGTGTGTAGACATCACCTGGGACCAACACTGCAGTGTGAACATCACCTGGGACCATCTGCTACAGTGTGAACATCACCTGGGACCAACACTACAGTGTGAACGTCACCTGGGACCAACACTACAGTGTGTGAACATCACCTGGGACCCAACACTACAGTGTGAACATCACCCTGGGACCAACACTACAGTGTGAACATCCTAGGACCACATCACTACAGTGTGAACATCACCTGGGACCATCACTACAGTGTGAACATCACCCCTGGGACCATCACTACAGTGTGAACATCACCTGGGACCAACACCACAGTGTGAACATCACCTGGGACCAACACTACGGTGTGAACATCACCTGGGACCAACACTGCAGTGTGAACATCACCTGGGACCATCACTACAGTGTGAACATCACCTAGGACCATCACTGCAGTGTGAACATCACCTGGGACCATCACTACAATTAGCAGACATCACCTAGGACCATGCTGATATGTGAACATCACCTAGGACCATCACTACAGTGTGAACATCACCTAGGACCATCACTACAGTGTGTGAACATCACCTGGGACCATCACTACAGTGTGGGTATCACCTGGGACCATCACTACAGTGTGAACATCACCTGGGACCATCACTACAGGTGTGAACATCACCTAGGACCATCACTACAGTGTGAACATCACCTAGGACCATCACTGCAGTGTGAACATCACCTGGGACCATCACTACAGTGTGAGCATCACCTGGGACCATCACTACAGTGTGTGAACATCACCTGGGACCATCACTACAGTGTGAACATCACCTAGGACCATCACTACAGTGTGAACATCACCTGGGACCATCACTACAGTGTGAAGACATCACCTGGGACCATCACTACAGTGTGAACATCACCTGGGACCATCACTGCAATTATGTGAACATCACCTAGGACCATCACTACAGTGTGAACATCACCCTAGGACCATCACTACAGTGTGAACATCACCCTGGGACCATCACTACAGTGTGAACATCACTAGAGACCATCACTACAGTGTGAACATCACCTGGGACCATCACTACAGTGTGAACATCACCTAGGACCATCACTACAGTGTGAACATCACCTGGGACCATCCCTACAGTGTGGGCATCACCTAGGACCATCACTACAGTGTGTAGACATCACCCTAGGACCATCATTACAGTGTGAACATCACCTGGGACCATCACTACAGTGTGAACATCACCTGGGACCATCACTGCAGTGTAGACATCACCTAGGACCATCACTACCGGTGTGAACATCACCTAGGATAACACTACAGTGTGAACATCACCTGGGACCAACACTACGGTGGCAGACATCACCTGGGACCATCACTACAGTTAGCCAGACATCACCTGGGACCAACACTGCAGTGTGAACATCACCTGGGACCAACACAGTGTGAACATCACCTAGGACCATCACTGCAATTAGCAGACATCACCTGGGACCAACACTGCAGTGTAGACATCACCTGGGACCAACACTACAGTGTGAACATCACCTGGGACCAACACTACAGTGTGAGAACATCACCTGGGACCAACACTACAGTGTGAACATCACCTAGGACCATCACTGCAGTGTGAACATCACCTGGGACATCACTACAGTGCTTGTAGACATCACCCTAGGACCATCACTGCAGTGTGAACATCACCTGGGACCAACACTACAGTGTAGGGCTTGTCACCTGGGACCAACACTACAGTGTGAACATCACCTGGGACCAACACTGCAGTGTGAACATCACCTAGGACCATCACTGCAGTGTGAACATCACCTGGGACCATCACTACAGTGTGAACATCACCTGGGACCAACACTACAGTGTGAACATCACCCTAGGACCATCACTACAGGGTGTGTAGACATCACCTGGGACCAACACTGCAGTGTGAACATCACCTGGGACCATCACTACAGTGTGAAGAACATCACCGAGGAACATCACTACGGTGTGAACATCACCCTGGGACCAACACTGCAGTGGCCAGACATCACCTAGGACCAACACTACAGTGTGGAGACATCACCTGGGACCAACACTACAGTGTGAAGACATCTTGAGGAACATCACTACAGTGTGAACATCACCTAGGACTATGTCACTACAGTGTGAACATCACCTAGGACCATCACTACAGTGTGAACATCACCTAGGACCAACACTGCAATTAGCCAGACATCACCTAGGACCATCACTACAGTGTGAACTTGTCACCTGGGACCAACACTGCAAGTGTAGACATCACCTAGGACCATCACACAGTGTGAACATCACCGAGGAACATCACTACGGTGTGAACATCACCTGGGACCCAGCTTTAACACTACAGTGTGAACATCACCTAGGACCAACACTACAGTGCTTGTGAACATCACCTAGGATACTTGCTACAGTGTGAACATCACCGAGGAACATCACTACAGTGTGAACATCACCTGGGACTATCACTACAGTGTGAACATCGCCGAGGAACATCACACAGCAGTGTGAACATCACACCGGGATGGCATCACTACCCAGTGTGGAACATCACCGAGGACCATCGCCCGGTGTGAACATCACCTGGGACCATCACTACGGTGTGAACATCTTACAGGACCATCACTACAGTGTGAACATCACACCCGGACCGTACTACAGTGTGTAGACATCACCTGGGACCATCTCACTACAGTGTGAACATCACCTGGGACCATCACTACAGTGTGTGAACATCACCTGGGACCAACACTACCCAGTGTGAACATCTACCTGGGACCAACACTGGTGACAGAACATCACCTGGGACCAACACACTGCAATTAGCCAGACATCACCTAGGACCATCACTACAGTGTGAACATCACTGAGAACATCACTTACGGTGTAGACATCACCTAGAACCAACACTACGGTGTGAACATCACCTGGGACCCATCACTACAGGTGTAGACATCACCTAGGACCATCACTACAGTGTGAACATCACCGAGGACCAACACTACGGTGTGAACATCACTTGGGACCATCACTACAGTGTGAACATCACCTAGGACCAACAGTACCGGGTGTGAACATCACCTAGGACCATCACTGCAATTGTGAACATCACCGAGGCCAACACTACAGTGTGAACATCACCTAGGACCATCACTACAGTGTAGCAGACATCACCTAGGGACCAACAGTACGAATTAATGCAGACATCACCTAGGTTCATCACTACAGTGTGAACATCACTGGGACCATCACTGCAATTAGCCAGAACATCACCTGGGACCATCACTACAGTGTGAACATCACCTA